CTCTTCATTTTAACAAAAGGAACATGACCAAGTCTATAATGCCACAACAAGTCTGCACTATCACCAGGGATGACAACATTTCTATCAACAGAAACAGTTTTCTTATCATTAGATGAACTGTTCAATACAAAAACATTTTGATGAGGCAAACATGAATGAGAAATACACTGACTATGTAATCTATCAGTTCTATGAAGTGATAGACATGTGGTAGATGAAATGGAATTCTTGCTCTTTTGTAAACAATCTGAACAAAGAAGATACAAGCCATCATGAGCTTTACCAATTTCCAGAGGCCTCTTCAGTGAAGGGGCCTGCAACAGACAAGATGTGTTAGAGAAAGAAACAACACATTTAAGATGTAGAGTTAAAGAATTAATTGATATTAAGTTGTATTTGAAAGAAGGAATGAACAAGACATTGTACAATGTGATCTGTGAAGTTATTTGCACATTTCCAACTTCTGTGACCTTGACTTTATAGCCATTTGGTAATCTGACTAAAATAGGTTCAGGTAAGGGTAGAATGTTGGTGAGATGTTGTTTGTTAAAGGTCATATGGTGTGATGCACCTGAGTCTAAGATCCACAAGTCAGTTTTAGCCTTATAACATTCACATGACATTTTGTCAAAAGCTATAGATGAAGTGCATGCAATGATACCTGCAAAATTCACAGCAGGATTTGTTGCTTGCATGTTACTTGAATTTTCTGCCTGAAATTGTTGAAGCAGGTAGGCAAGTTGTCCATACTGTTCCTTTGAGATGCCAATATCTTGGCTGGTGGCTTGACTCCCAGAGTTACAACCTTGTTCCACATTAGAGTCACATGACATTGCAGAATTAGCTGCTACACCTTTCCCTTTGTTATTGTTTCTATATGGCTAATTAGAACTAAGATTTTCATATTGTTGTTGTCTCTGAAATTGATTATAGCCTTGCTGTCCATTAGATTGAGATCTTTGAGGTCTGTTATTATTCTGTGGATATCCATGCAACTGATAACATTTTGCTTTAAAATGTCCTGGTCTTCTGCAGTGTTCACAATATGGTCTCCCTCTATGATTTGAAGAAGTAGATGAGTAATTCGTCTGGAAATTCTGGCCTTATGGATTACCATAAGTGCCTAAAGTACTTGAAGAAGTTACCACAAGAGAACTAGTCTCAGCAAAGGATTGATTGTTTGTCTTAAACTCTCGTTGTTTCTCCTCTTGTATCAACAGGGCAAAATCTTGTGCCATAGATGGCATTGGATTCATCATCAAAATGTTCCCTCTAATCGTTGTATAGACCTCATTAAGACCCATAAGAAACTGAATTAATCGTCTATCCTGTTCAACCTTGTGCATCATATCCTTTGCTCCACAGCTACATGTACAATTGCAGTGAGTTTTGATGCATAAACCACTCAGTTCTTCCCAAAGTTTCTTCATCTTGGTGTAGTAAGTTGTGACATCCATAACTCCTTGAATGAGATCATTGATTTTCTTTTGAATTTGATATAACTTGGCACCATTGGTTTGATCATAACGATCCTCCAAATCAGTCCATAATTCCAAAGCACTATCAACATATGCTACACTATCAGCGATATCTCGACTTAATGAGTTTAAAATCCAAGACGTAACCATATTATCACACCTCTCCCATTGTTTGTAGTTTGGATCTTTAGGAAGTGGTTTCTTAGAATCTCCATTAATGAACCCCAATTTATTTTTAACTGATAAAGACCTGATCATGCCTCTCTTCCAGGTTCGATAACCAATTCCATCAAAAACAACTGGTACAAGAGGTGCACCTAGATTGTCTGATGGATGTAGATACAACACACTTCCTATCTCAATTCCCTTAGTTACTTCTACCATTGTAGTGCAACAAAATCAATCAAAAGAAGGGATGAAAATGTGTAAGAATGCAACAGAAAACAGCAGAAAAACAGAATGAACACAAGTAAACTCAATAGATTCAATCTTCACAAGAAGAACAGAGATGGAAGACAAACAGAGAGATTTGAGATCTTCACAGCTTGAACAGAGACGAAAACAAGCGGAAGTGATCGAACGAGTGCTTTGATACCATGTTGAAGCTCAAAGTTGTGATAAACCACCATTAATGGTGGCTGCAACTGAATGTAAAGCTGAGGATAGAGAGAACCATTTCTCAAATTGAAAGAGAGGAGAAAAAGTGTGATGAACTACATGTAGTAGTCATACTTATACAATTGAAGATTGAAGGAAAAATAACTAACACTTAAACGGAAAGCTAACTAACTGTAACTACTCCTTCATAATCTTATCTCTTATCAACTTCAGCATCTTTATATAAATTTCAGTTTCCTATCATGGCAAAGGAACATACAAGGACAATCAAACCATGTCCACCTTAAGGTAATTTATTACTTCCCCTTCCCGTTAGTTTCAAAATAAGTGATGTTTTTAATTTGTCAGTCATTTATGAAAAAATTTTGACAAAATTTTGCACAATATGTATATCTTTTCCCCTATTAACAATTGGTAAAATAAAAAATTGAATTGCAGGAAGAAAAAAAAAGGAGATCATGATGTGTTAGGAATGGAGATGTGTCCAACAGGATCAAGTTTACCAGATTGTTCTCATGCTTGTGGACCTTGTTTCCCTTGTAAGAGAGTAATGGTGAGCTTTGCATGCTCCATTGCTGAATCTTGTCCCATTGTCTACAGGTGTATGTGTAGAGGCAAATATTACCATGTCCCTTAAAATTGATCTTATCTCGTACGATCAAATCAGAGTCGCTACTCAAAATTCAGTTTTATTTAATTTCAACCACTAGTCATGATATGTATGTTTATTAATTATGGAGTACTAGCTAGCTAGTCTTATGCAATGTTGCATTTGGATTATTGTGCCTCATTTGATTTCCTTCAAGATTTTGGTAGTGTTATTGTAAATAGGAGGAATTGTAAGAGTTTTGTAGGCTTAGTTGTTAAGTGAAGTAATTTAGAATGTTCTTAGTTTGATTTCTTCCAAGTTTTTTTTTTACTTCATTTACTTTCATAAGATAGAATACTACTGTTGAGTTTCGTTTTGTATGGTTCTGGAGCATAATTAGCTTTCCCTAAAGATCCAGTCGCATTTTCTAGTACGAGTACCTTGTTGCGATATCACTCCAGTCACTAGCCTGTCTTCAATATCTCTCACTATACGATTAAAATAACGACTTCGGACATGGCCAACTCCCAGTGTAACGAGCAATACCCCAAATAAATTCACCGCAAAACAAATAAGCTATTTCACTTTGTAATAAAATAATCTCAAAATTATTCAATATCTATAATTAAATTTAAAATAAAATAATCTCACTTACATTCAATTTGACAACTTTAAACTATGGTTATATTTTTTCCCTTATTCCAAACAGCCCTTTAATTATTCAATCTTAAAAAGGTTTTCCTTTTTCTTTTTTTTAAAAAAAACATTTGAATTAATTAATAAGAGTGATCAGCCAAAATTAATTATTGTTAAGTAAATAATAAATGTTTTTTTTTACTTAATTTTAAATTAATCTATCATTTGTTTTTGTAATTTTTAATTATTATTTGATTTTACTTAATTATTTTTTTTTTATCGTTTTCATTAAAGTTATTTGTCTGCTACCTACTTACACAGTAACAAAGAGCATATTGCCGGCGACGAAAGTTGACCAAACGGCTGCCGGAAACTGGCGTTTGTTAATTATGAAGTATTCAAATTAAAGTTAGATATAAAAAATGAATATTTTTAGTACTAATATATATTTATGCCACCAAATTCTCCATATACAGAAATTCTTCTCAACTACCTTTCGAGCAGGTAACAATTTTTGTACTGAATTTTTTTTTTTTTTGCTAACGATTTGGGAATATTAAGATTTTGGGTATTCAATTTTTATGAATTTAGGGCTTTTTTGTTAGGAGGGATAAAGTGCAGCTAATTAAAGATTAATTTTAGGATGAGTTTAGTTATGTTTGGTTAGTGATAAAATTTTGCCCTTTTCATTTAGCATTTGAATTTTTTTGTAAAACGGAAAATTTGTGTAGCATTAATTTTGAAGAAACATATGAAAGTGTTGTTAAATCTCAATTCTATGATCTAAGCCTCAAGTCTGTGAGTGAGTTAGAATTTTCAATGGGGGTTACGTAATATGGAGAAGTAAACACATGATTGGTTATATGGTAGGTTCTCGAGTTTAACCATGTAGAAATAAAGTAAGTTTTCGCTAAAGGGGGATTCAGATGAACCCTTGGTCCTACCTGGTTCCGCCCTTAGTGTTGGTGTACTTGATGTTCGATGTGTAGCATGTTTGTTTCATTGTTCAGTCATATAAGCCGATCAATCATAATTGCATTTGTCAATGAAATAGTATCTCTTTCTTTACCATTTAATTAGAATATTGTTATGTAACTCTAGGGTTAAATTATATTGGAAAATTACCTGTTATAGGATATGTTTGGTAACTGCTGATTGATTATATGACAAGTTCTCAAGTTTTTATCTTATCTAATTGAATGACTAAATGAATTATTTTTGTCAAGTTTCGGAATGAATGTAGTTGATGATGCTAATCAGTTACAAGAAACACTAAAAAATGAAGTTATGTCCTTCTTCGAGTCAGCTCCATTACTAGAGGATGCTGCTGAAATTGATAAAAGCTTGAAGGAATTTGTTGATCACAATACTTCATCATCAGGCAATTGTTATTTCTTTAGTTATCAACATCTCATAGATTTTAAGCTCTTAATTCTTTGTTCTTCGAATATAGATGCCACTTGACTGTATTTCTTGTCTCCGTGTTAAGTGAATGAAAAAACAAACAGGGTAGTGTGTATTACTTCAGGTGGTACAACTGTTCCTTTGGAAAAACAATGTGTTCGTTATATCGACAACTTTAGCTATGGTCATAGAGGGGCTGCATCCACAGAGTATATCCCGAATACTATGCTTAGATGTTTTTCACACACTTGAATTCACATACATTTGATGTTCAAAATGAAAATGTAAATGCAGATACTTTCTGACGGCCGATTATTCTGTAGTCTTTCTCTACCGAAGGTTTGTTCTTCAAGTGCCTAGTTAATTTATTCAATTATTGTGATTTTGATTTTAGACTAGTAACACCATGAAATATGCAGAGGGTCATGCCAACCATTTTGTAGTACTCTGCCTGATGATCCACCGCTAGAGTGTTTTAGTGTTGCTGATGATTCAAGTATTGAAGGTCTATAATTCTTATTTTTTTACACTCAATATTGATGCATGTACTACGTTTCTATTAACCAAGTCATTCTAGACGACCTTAGTAAGTGCTACTTGTACACTCTATTAGTTATGGTAATTTCTAATGATGTTCATCTTAACATCTACATTTCTACGATATTGATCTTGTGAAGATCTTAAACTTTAAACGCCTATGTTACACTTATCCTTCAATTAACACCAATGACGTGTATTCACCAAAATGACACCAATGTCAGTGACACCAATACCACCAAGATCTTTGAACTTCAAATCCCTCAGTAGTTTCATTGATTATTACCATATTATCGACAAATAGCATGTACCGCGAGATTATCTATTATTAGTAGCTCAGTCATACGTAGGGTAAGCAAGATTGTGATCAATTCGAAATCCCAGTGTAAATCAACCGAATGGGAACGGGTAAGCACATATTGTCAAAGCTTGACCTTGGGTTTTTTTCAGGCCGCATTTTTAGTTTCTATCTTAGTTTTATACTCTTTAAATGCTTATCCATCTTCTGATATTTGGTAACTTTACATATTACTAACTTGGGAAAGATCTTTGTTGTTCTGAGTATTTTGTATCACAATGGATTTGTTGAACATTTTTCTGTTGCACTATTTTTTAGTGGATGCATTGCATGCCGAAATAGTGAAGAGAGCCATTACTGAAAGTCGCACTGTATGGTTATTACTGATTTTTAATTTTCGTCTTATTTTTGTGTGTTCTTACAGTTATCCTTATTAGTCTTTAACAGGAAGAATTTACTATTTGCAGGCAGTTGCTGAGGGCATCCTGTTGAAACTTCCATTTACAACAATTTTCGAGTATTTGCAGGTTTAATTTAAATAGATCAGTGAAATCTATTTTACTGTTAAATCAATGTTGTATGAGCATTTTAGTACGCTTTGTGGAGGATGGTAGCACTTCCATTAACGTTATTTTGATCACTGACAGATTCTACATCTAATTTTCGTGTCTTTGAGGGACTTCGGGCTTAGTGCTATTTTTTTCTGGCAGCTGCAATTTCTGATTTTTATGTTCCGTGGGAAAGTATGGTAATTGTTTATGTTCTTCAATTTATCTCTCTTTTTTCTTATTGCTTCGTGAATTATACTTTTCCTTCTTTTCTGTCTTCGAGTGCCCTCGATCATTATGTTGCAACTGATAGTTATATAACATGTCATCTTAATCAACTTGCAAAAGAGAGTTGTAACTACCATTTCCTCTAAATCTGGTCGATTTGTTTTATGTTACCTCTTCTTCACAGGCTTTACATAAAATCCAGTCGGCATCTGGTCCTCTGGATATACGACTCGCCCAAGTACCAAAGATGCTTTTCGTGCTTAGGAATGAATGGGCGCCAATGGCCTTCCACATATCGTTTAAGGTTGGTGAATCATCCTGCATTGTTTAGTAAAGCTACGAAACTTATACTCTGTCTTCGAGAAAAAAGTTCTCTACTTGTAAAGAAGTGGTGACTTGAATTTCTATGTCAAAGCTTCATTTCCTAGGAAGTATAAACAACAAAAGTACCCAGAAAAATAATCTCACTAGTGAGGTCGGGGGTATAGTTTCGTTACTGATTTCCAATATCTATTATTTGACAGCTAGAAACAGACACATATATCCTTTTGGCAAAGGCTACTATGGCCCTCAAAAAATACAAGATGCATATGGTGATAGCTAACGAACTATCAACCCGTAAAGAGAAAGTAATAGTTGTCACTGAGCAGGAAAAAGTCACAGTTCGTAGGGACAGCACTCGGGCAAGGGCTGAAGTCGAGTCTCTGTTGGTTGAGCTTATTGTTGATAGACACTCAACATATATCAAGAAGTTTGATGCATAACAAATATGGGCGGATCACTGAAATATGAAGGTACAACCTTACATTTCAGTAAGCAAAAGTAGTAAAAACTGAGAGTGTTTCTTCAGCTTGTTTCATTATTTATTGGCAATTTGTGTTTGTTTTTCCCTTTTTAGTTGAATGTCTACCCAATGCTTTATTTCTGTCTGATTCGACATTAGAAGTATATGTTAGCAGCTTAAACTGAATTCCTTAAGAAAATTATTCTGGTGAAATATCTGAGATAATGAAATATATCTGTTGAGGGATAGAATAATTTTAAAAAATTAAATCCAAAATCAAAATCAAGTAAAAATTGAGTTAATTTGATGTTTGAATTGATTTGTAATTAAATTGTTGCACTCTCTCCGTTTCATTTTGTCTGATACTTTTTATTTTTAATTTATCCCTAAAAGAATATTATCATTTTATTTAGCTCTACAATTCTCCATACACCATTAATCAAACTCTATGTAGAAATTTTGTATACAACAAAGTTATATTATAGTTAACCGTTTTTCAATATTGTTGACATGAGTATCCAAAATCATAATGTTTGTTTTAGTTTAACTTATTTTTAAGTGTAAATTAGGTATAAAGCATTTTATGTAGTCATACTCTCAAGTTATGACATAAGAGTTTGATTTTCATTGTATAACATTTAATATATCAAGTTATAGTATTTTTTAAAAAGAAAATAATGTTAATTTTAAATTATTAAAAATAGATAGTAAAAAAAATGGATAAATTAATATTAGATAGTGTGATGCGTGAAATTAGTTATTATTAATTACTGATAAATAATGTGCACATTGTAAGGGATTTGAAATTTTTTTATTATTAGATAGATACCATAATTGTCTCAATTAGTTTTAAATGATAATAAGTTATGATTTTAATCCTTAAAAAACTCTAATCTGTTATTTTTTTACTTAAACGTGCATTGCTTGTTTTTTTTCAGAAATTGAGGATTATTTTGATATTTGAATATTGTTATATTTTTTCATTTTTTTAAAAAAAAATTCTTAAAATTTGACGTTGAAAATGAATAGATTTGATTTGATGGAGAACATTGTGTCAATATTAATTAAACATGGTGGCAAGTGGAATTCATCAGGTTAGTTCTTAATTATGATTTGTTATGTTTTAAGTATAAATTATTGGTTGTAATTATATATATATATAATTAGTTTTTAATTATTATTTGTTATGTTTTAAGTATAAATTATTGGTTGTAATTATATATATATATA